AAGCCTACATTAAAATCTGTCATATAAATTGGTCTCTTCATTAGAAATTAGCCTACTGATTGCCACCATTGATGGACACATTTTTTAAATAATATTACAAATATCTGTAAGACATTATATTCTGCAGTTCTTCCCTGTTGTACCGAATATCTACACTTTTCAAATGATCATATCGAAGTTAGATATTCAAATATTGTGACAAAATTAATTTTGTAGGGTGCCACAAGTTTGTTAAAATTTCCAAAGGGTGCCGCGACTAAAAAAAGGTTGGGAAACACTGTTTTAAATGACTTTTTATTGAAAGGCAACAAAACAAACTGATAATCAGTTTAGTAAATATGACTGTGTCTGTGAAGGATGGTATTGTCAAAAAAATAGTGTTTGCCCAAAATGAATTAAAGTGCCCCTATTATGGATTTTTGAAAATTACCTTTCATGCAGTGCGTAACACAGCTCGAAGTGAATGAAAACATCCTGCAAAGTTTTAAATCTGAAAGTGCACCGTGTATAAAGTAATTGTCTCTCAAAAGAAAAAGTCGATTCTGAATCATTAAACGAGTCGTTTTTAAAACAAATCCCAAGCCGTTTCATGTTGTGGTCAACATGAAACATTAGCATATTGCCCGCCCACTTGTTGGTCTTTTCTCGTTGGTCTGAATGAAAATGCTAATTCATTTTTTGCCACTAGGTGCCGCTTGTGGAGCGGTAAAATAGCAGTTTCCCCGGTAAGGGCTGTACACAAAGCAGCACTGCCTCTCACAAACGCTGCTTTATCAGGCTTTACAGGCGTGATGAAATGAAAATGAGACCAATCGGACCAATCACCGCATATTAGCGTCACGCAAAGGACGGGTTTGGAAAAATGAATCGTTAAAGGAATCGTTTGGGAGTCGTTGAGCAAGTAAGGTAAAAATAAATGCATATTATAAGACAATGAAAGTGTTTTTTGATCTTGCATGCATGTCAACCTGTTGTTGGGGACTCCCAAAACCAAAATATGAACCTTTCATTACCCATAATAGGGGCACTTTAATAGATCATTGACCTATCTATCATCCAACATCATTTACACAGACACTAAACACTAAAAGAACAGGTTTTAATAGATTACAGCAAAAATTAAAGTTATTATCATTTGCTAATTGTGCTACTTCCTCTATCATCTGACCCCATTATCACATATTTAAAACTGTATTTAATATTTTGCGATGTTGTTCTTCCTGTTTTCTCTTTTCTGTTACTGTTGGTAAGTTAGAGTGACATTTCCTGTTTTACAACACACCAACCTTGTTTTAAAAGGACAGAATGAGGATGAATGAGTAATTTGCTCATAGACAGTCTAAAACCATGGAAACACATATATATATTGTTATGTATAGGCTATGTGCGTGTTCGTGCACAGAATCCAACACACACACACACACACTCTCAGTGGTTTTTAACACCCCTTACCATACCATGTCCAGACCACAATGATGTAGTCACCTGTGACAGAGGGATTTATCCAGTTTTAAACTTTAATATTGTTGGAACAAAGACATACAGAAGGTAACAATGCACATGCCTCATTGTGTACCTCTAAAAGACATGGACAACACTGAAGTTTCATGCTGTCAAATCATAGAAACATTTAACAATCTTTGCTCTGAATCGCACGTGCTCACACAAACCCACACTACTGCCACATTTCCCTCCCTCACGCTTGAAGACCCCAAGCCATCTTACTCTGTTTTTTTACTTACCTGGAAAAAACTCTGGTAGACACAGGATGAAGGCGAGAAAGAAGACAATGCTGAGTTTGAAGGCACCTGATCTCGTCATGGTAAAAGACAGTGTGACAGCTGCTCCACTGTAAGGCCACCCAACCTCTGAACTTGTTGACCACACATTGGAAATCTCACACAACCTTACACCTCACCCTTTGGCTTTTCCAGATGTCCCACGTTTACTTTTAAATAATCCTACGTATTTATTTTAAGACTTTTTAGTGTCAGTCCTTCACGACTAACACCGCCTTGATTACGTAGATTAAACACTTTACCACTTCCTGCCTGTCTTCCTGTTTCGTGTAATTCTGAAAACAGTAAGAACAAAGAAAGCCATTTCAGGTTGTTAATGTGTTTGCTTGTCTCATAAGGATTCAAATCATTTTAGACCTTATTATATTATATTATATTATATTATATTTATTATTAGTGTTTCCCAACCTTTTTTGTCTACAGCACTACTACTACTTGGTGTTGAATTAATACATTATTGACATCAAATGTGGTCAAAGGGGTAAATAAAATAAATAAATAAAAAATGCTTCTCTTTCCAGGTACCCTCTGCAGCACACATACATAAACGCTTGGCAGAATGAGTGTGTAAGGCTGTGTGTCATATAGCCTGAAGGACATTCCTGCTGCAAAGCAAACAGATTTGATCACGGACAGGAGCATCCAGTTATCATGGCAGGGCAGGAGGAAGGTTCTCATCAGGACCCACACTGACATTAGGAGAGATCTCAGCACCAAACACCTTATCAGCATCATCCAGCGAGCCGACTGTAGTGGACTACTGCTGCATTTAAACCCCTTGAGATTTCTTCTGGGGTATTTGAACTCAGTGTTAAAACTCACACCATAATATGAGGAAAACACTATACCGTTTAAAAAAAAAAATGCTTTTGGAATTCTTAATGCTCACAGAATCTGTGTTTATTTGATAAAAAAAATAGTAATATTGTGAAATATTATTACAATTCAAAATAACTATTTTCTACATATTGAATATATTTTCAAATGTAATTTATTCCTGTAATGGCAAAGCTGATTTTTCAGTATCACATTACGTTTACATGCACAATTTTTGGTTCAATCGGACTGAGTTCATTCCGATTGATGAATCTGAATGTAGTGTTTACATGAACTAAAGAAAGTGATCGGGTTGATGTGCGCGTTTATATGTCACAAGCTTCAAATCGGAATAGATTTTTTTTGACATGCGCACACTGCACAAATATAGAGTTTCTCACTGTTTGCACATAATAACCACTCTCCTACACGGTTTCTTTATTTGTTTTTAACAGCAGAATTAATATTTATCCATTTATGGATAAATATGAACTGCTGTGCCTTGCTGCTCATATTTATCACCCAGTAAAAATGCCCCTCCCCGCGCCCAATACGGGTTGCCAGTGGATGAGTATCCAAAACAAGGACTGGTGGGAGGTTGTCCTGCTCCACTTCACAGTTGCCGATTGAAAGGAGAGTTTTATAATGACAGGACACGCATTTATACAACACTTTATTCAAAAGGAAGAGCCGTTCGTTCCGCGCGTCATATGTCATTACGCGTCATTGCACATGCGCAGTCCTTTCAGTTTCGGGGTACAATCCGATCGAGTGTTTACATGCACTCTCAATCGTATTAGAAAAGGAATAAACCACCACCTTCAATCCGATCGAGAGTGTCACATGATCCTTCAGAAATTATTCTGCTGATCTTGTGCTCAAGAAATAACTAATTAAACTAATAATTAATTTAATGGATCCTTGCTAAACAAACAAACCCCAAATTATACTGATCTTTTCACAAGGAAAGAATAAATTAATGCACTGCAATATGTTAAAAGACCAGGATTAAATTAACCGGTTAATATCAAAGCTGTATTAAAGCAGTGGTTGTCCAGTGTTTTTACATCAGAATATTGATCTTGACAACCAATACAGCATGTGAAACTTTGATATTCATGTCTGAAAACACTAATTATTATAGAATTAACATCATTCAAAATTCCCTTTCTCAAAATGGGAATCAGATGTTTTAAATCTGTCACTCAGGAGCTCTACACACTCAGTGAAATAAGAGTTTGTGTGTCTTGCTCACTGTCATATGCAGGTCTTTGAGTTCAGCTCTTGTGACCTACACTGTAAAAAATGACTGTGAATTTAACGGTAAAAGACTGTAAAAATGCTACAGTAAAAACCTGTTAAATGGTTAACGGTAAATTCCCCTACTATACGGTGAAAAACTGTATTGGACATTACATGTATTGGACATTAATTTTACGGTAGTATTCTGTTTTTGGAAGTGAAAAAGGCTGTATAATTTACAGTGAATAACCGTAAACGCGTTTTTTTTGTTGAAATAACTATGTTTCTTCTTAGTTTTTTCTTATCAGTTTTGTATTTTTACAGTGTATATAAGAGAAACCTGTGAAATGTATTCATGAAGGATCATGATTTTTACTAATTTGCTTTCACTTCACTTTCAAATGGATGTATCTTTTAGATTTGGACCAATCTAATGATCTCGACTGCTGCATCGAGTAAGATTTATGCATGTAAATGTAATGAAAATAGTTTTTTTTTTTAAAGGAAAAAGTTAAGAGAAGTCACTTTTTATTATTACCAGTTTCTCATTTTCCACATAATGTATTGAGGATTTTGGAACAACAGGCTGACATGAGATCACCATGGTAAGATAAGTTTCTTTCTCTCTTTCTTTCTTTCTTTCACGGTAAAATTTCGGCATCCACAGCTGCCGCTTTTTTACCATAAACTTTACGGAATTTTTTTTACAGTGTATATAACTTTGAAACTACTGTAGCCTATACTAAAACTATAAATTGTCTTGATCTTGACAACCATCTGTGTGCCTGTCCAGAATCCACTAGGTGGAGACACTGTCTTTCACCCCCTAAAAGTGTAGTAAAGATAAGAGGATTGATTATTGGTTTATGATTAATTGAACACCCGCGTGCTCCTGAAAACTTAACTAGCCTACCATTATTAATGAACTGTTCTGTCACACAATAACAACTTTGAAAGCGCAATTTTTGTATCTAAAAGTACATTCATAAGTAAATCCATAAAAATAAAGCAACTCCCCTTTAAATAAAGTTACAATGAGGTGAAAGTCAACGTTTTCAAGCGAGTGTTAAGATGTTTGTGTGTGTGTGTGTGTGTGTGTGTGTGTGTGCATATTTCAAGAAAAAAAATCTACATAGAAGGAAACCCACTGTTACAGCTTTCAGAGCTCTAGTCTTACTCCACGCCTTTTCATCCAAAAGTGAATCACGCGATTATAATCAGAGTGTAAAGAGCCAGCCTCTGTTCAACTACTAAATGTGCAATTTACATCCGAAGTAAGCGATAAGAGCAGCTATTAACCCGCCAGGTAAGAGAGCTCATTTCACGCGCTGGGATGTGGGGTTATTTTGGTTGACTGCTGAAGCCCATTACAAATGCGTGCAGCTACAAGTTCGCAGACAGTTATGCGGTAAAAGGGAAATGAATCAGCCCATAAACGCTTTTAAAAAGCGGACTCATTCCGCAGGAAAGCACGGGGTTCAGATTGGCCTGCGAGGGCTGATAGTTTTGATAGAAAGAGTCGATACATTGATGAACTAAAAGTTGTTTCATATGCTGACAATTATTTCCTGCTCTGTCCGGCTATTCTGGCAAAGGAAGTACAGAGAGGTCGGTTTCGTTTATACTCAACAGGAAATGAAAGTGTTTTGGAATGTGTATTGGGAAAAGCATAATTATATAGCCTATTTATCGTAAACTTCAGTCTCGTGCAGATGTCTTCACAACGGCAGGCAAACAATAGAAAAGCGTGGCGCATAAAACATGCCTGTAGCCTAATGAAACGTCAACAGCTTAAATATATTTTGAGCTATTTTAGAATTTCATAAAAATGTTTCTTTTAAAAGGGGGGGAGTAGTTGAATCTGTTTTCGTATAATCTAAATCCATGTATTCATGAAGACCCGAGGCAAATCGCCTGTTATGCTGTTTGTTAAACTGTGGATTTCTTTGGAATATTTTTCTATAGATTAAAAAAAATAGAGACGTTTAAGGAGCAAAACGTCTCGGGTATTTGTCACTAGAAGTCAGGGGTACATTCAGTGTCACTGTGGACAGATGTTGGACAGATTTCAGGTGGATTGAGGAAAAGAAAACAGATGTTTACATTCCATATGATATTCACCCACAGAAGCCCAGGTTTCCAGAGCCCTTTGTTTGTATTTTTAATTAGTGTCTTACTATGACCCAGCACTAACTTAGAGTAGAGAAACAATAAGAATGGAGATGTGCAGCATGTCTTTGCATCTATTTGTTTGTTTTCTGTCCTTAATTCTGTGCCCCTTGTTTGAGCAATAAGCAGTATCTCCTCTTGTGTTGTTATCCAGGTGCACTGCACACTGCTAAGACACAAACAAAATTGCTTGAGCATGTTTATGTTAGTGGTGGGTATTTAGCTTAAAGTCACCATGAAATCAAAATTGCATTTTTTAATGGAATATTGCAGTGTTTATTATAAATTATTTATACATGTGCTGTCGCAATCTTTAATAAAAACATTTGCCACATCCCAATTTGCATGCTATCCATCCTATTTGAAATTAGAATTAGTGTGTCCCAAATCAAAGTATGCAGTGAGTATCCCAGCAGTATTCCAATGGTTTATGAAATTCGGAGAGTAGATCCTTGCACACTCTGATGGCTAATATTACCCGCAACCCATTGCACGATGGATGAGGATTTAGATAGAACTACAAACACAAATAAAAGTATTGAAAAACAACAAACATGATGGATTTGCGTGACCGACGGAGAGTTTTAGATAAAGGGGTTTGAGTGATTAATAATATGTAACCTGATAAAAAAAATACTTATTTAATGTTATCTGTGTTTCATCTGCAACAATATCGTTAACTTTTATAAAGATATGTGTGGCCATTAAGAGTTCTCGGCATGAAAGTTACACGCCCGGCAGATCAACATGCTACTTAATTTCTCTCCAGTACAATAGGAAATCAATTTAAATGAAATTTGGAGGATGTTAACTGTACAAGATGATTGACAGGACAGTTTAAAAGA